TTACCAGCTCCATCGTGGCCTCGGAGCCGTTGAGGTTCAGGGTGTAGATCCCTTCCTCTGCCCCCAGGATCAGATGCTGGTCTGAGGGAGGGACAGCAAGCACAGGCAGGTCAGACAGAAGTTTGATAAGGTGGCAAAGTGGAGAATTTTCTGAGCTCGTCTTTCTGTCATACAACCTTTAGAGGTGGGGTTCTCCCAGGTGGTGGAGCAGTTTATTTTAAGAGGACAGCCGTGAAAGATCTTTTTAAAGTAGACCTGCAGAAAAAGAGAGCGAGGGAGGGAAAGGCATTCAATTATTCACGCTGTCCTCTCTGCAGTAGACATGATTTCAAACCACTGAAAGAATCTTACAAAACAAACACCTACAACACGCCCACCGAATGGTTACTCCTTCAGCGTTAAAGGTCACAGGATCACAGAGGAGTGACATTTAGAGAAGGAAAGCAAAAGTAACTGTGGAATAAGACCCAAATGAGTTTTACTTCACCTTTAAATGTTATTACTCTATGTAGAAGCCTTAAACATTTCATCTCTAAAGTAAACTATAGTTTATGTGGACTTTACATGGATGTGATGACGTGTTACTTGCACACATTTTGAACAGTTTTATTTTCCATGCTCGCTATTTGTTTCATATATAATTTTTTATTAAATTCTGTTAACAGGGCATATTTTGCTTATTTGTATTTTATTCTTGGGCTTTCTCTAGAGTCGCTTTGCATGATTCATGACTCAAAATAACCCTTATTTAGCATATCCTGGTGGCTTTGATGCAGCCTTTTAGACTCAGGAGTTCTGCACCGTTTTGAAATGAAAATCGATGCTGATTTCAAAAAAATATTCAGGCTTGCTGAGTGACCTCCCTGCTTTCTGCCTCTCCTTTTCTCACTTTGCCTTAAACTGTGAGGAATAAACAATAAAAGGCAAAGAACTGAAAGGGCTGGGTGGGTTGCTGCACACATCACTGCATTCTCACAATATGGTGTCCCAAGTGTGCCTAACCATTCAAGCCACAAGGAGGTGGCATCCCCTTCAGCTGAAGAGTTCCTGTGTCTTTATTCGGATTTCTGATTGGCTGCATTTAGTTAAACAGAAGACTCGAATACTTTTTGCGTGTCTCTGATGTCATACAGAGCAGGACCAGCGAGAACTATCTGAATCTGAGCGTTTAAAGCAGTCTGAAACCTGAGCGTTTGCCTCACAGGGACATACTTGCAAGTAAGCCAAACTCATTTTTTACAACTTTGGCCATATTTAATAGAAACATCTGCCAAAGTAACACGTATGTATATATGACAGGAACTAAGGAAACACATAAAAGGTCCCCTTTGATTTTTAACACTCGTCTATAAAATTGAATTTATGCCGTTCATCGCTTCGCTTGAAACATCAACTTAAAACATCAAAAATCTGAGATGCTCAGCAAAGAGCTGATGTGCAGGGAGGAGAAACTCACAGGAGGTTTCTTCAGGACGGGGCTGGCACACTCAGGATGATCCTGCAAACAGAAAGAAAAATATGATGATGATGACGATAACTGTGTCAGGATGCAGTCGCACTGCGACGCAGCAGAGAAGACGTGGATAACTGGGAATAGGGAAATGGGAAGATGTGCGGCTCAGTTTCCTCCACGACTGTCAGAAAAATCTTCTTCTGCCAGGCTGTCACTGAACTTTATCTCTGCTTCCTCAAAAAGGGTCGTTTGTTCTGATCTGGACATTATTTCTGTGTTCTGGACACAGTTATTCTAAGAAGTGGACGGGCACATGTTACACTGTTTGAAAGCGCAAAAGAAATGTCATCTTCCCCTCGCCTTACCTTTGTTGTTGGCTGCCGTCTGCGTATGCCTTTAGGGGGAAGTTCAGGAGGAAGGAGGTCAGGTGGGGGCTCATTAAACTGGAGAGGTAAGGATGCAGGGTCTGGAACACACACACACAGAATAATAAGAAAATGGACTGATAATTTGCACGTCATATAAAATATGCTTCGATATTAACATCTTGCTGTCACAGCTCAGTTGGCTGAGCAGGTGACTTGTGCAGAAACACTGCAGCACATTTGACGCTCACCTGAGTGTCGTGTAGTTCGCGGTTGTGGTGTGGGCCGCACGTGCGTCCCGCTGGACGTCCTTATGAGCGGGGTGGGGGCGCACAGAGAGGTCAGCTTTCTTGTTCGATCGTCTTCTGCCGCCATGCTTTCCTCTGAGCTCGTTCGTTGTTTGGGCTGCACAAAAAAAAAATGAAAAAAAATCAGGCACAAAAGACTTTTGTTAAAATGACTGATGAGCGTTTTCTGCAGTTTTCATCTTTGAATCATAATATTTTAAAGGGAGATCTCTTATGCCAGCTTCCAAAGCTTAAAGTAGCTTTGCATGATCAAAATAATCCTTATTTATCTGACACTTGTTGCAGCGTCAGTTCAGCCTCTGTCAGAAACAAGCTGTTTTAGCCCCTCCCCCTTTAAGATAACTTTCTTTTGATTGGCTGCCGCTCGTAAACAGATGATTTGAAGGGTAGGTGGTTGGAGTCTGTGCCCAATATGATCATGTCAAGGACATTCTGTGACATCAAACAGAGCCAAGAATAGAAAAAACTGTCTGAAAAAGAATGTTTAAAGCAGCCTGTAACAATGTGTTTAGACAGAAAAAGGACAAGTATAATAGATCCACTTTAAAATATCACTCTGCGTTTAGACAAAGACACAGAAAAGTCAGAGAGCGCCTCAGAGCAAGTTCAACAGACCACTAAATAACTTACAACTGTGCTAGAGGTCCAAAGAGAACCGAGAACTGAGTCGTGAAACAAAACTCTGACTGCAAACATCTCCACACAGCGCTGTCTATCTGTCAGGCTTTTAAATTTCCTCCTAAGATAAAATTTACAAAATAAAAACTATGTAATGGCTTTAATTTTGAAAAGATAAAAGGCTGGTATTAATAATCAGCATTTCGACCTAGTATTTATTCTAACGTGTAAGAATAAATAAACAAAATAACTCTTTAGCAGAAATCACACGTTAAATAAACAACAAACAGCAAGCCTTAATAATCACCTTTGGAGGGAGAGGAGGCGGCGTTTCATCAGGCGGCATTATGAACCTGTCGGCAGAGAGAGAGAGTCGGTTCAGTCTGCTGCGTTAATGATGGGAATAAACTTCAGATTAATATGTGTGTGTTTACTGCTTACCCAGGAGGCTGTATCGTCGGGCTGAGGACAGACAAACAGAGACAGCGTCAGTGCAATTCACTGAAATCACTGATTACTGCGTACAGGGACAAACACGGCTTTTTGGTCCACCTCCGCTGAAATATGGTTGTTTTTGAGATATATAGAAGTACGTACTGAGATTATTGGTGCTAATTGGTTAAAGTGAGAGAAGACAACCACAGCAAACTTGTGAAAGTCCTGCAAACCTACACTGGGTGACGAACGGCCGAAAGTCAAATTTTTCCCACATGACCTGGAGGAAGATACGACTGTTTGTACCGGCCGTCACACAGACAATAATCTGTCCACTGACGTCCATCTGTCTCTACCTCAGACTAATGTAAAAAGCTCTTTGCAGTCTTCTCTGCAGTGGAAACGCAGACAAACAACAGTCTATTCTTTCTCACTTAGGAAACTGTGTGACGTTTCTTACATGTCCACATCATCATAGTCGTCGTCTGATTCTGAGTCCTGGTCCCTGCAACAGGAAAAGAGCAGACAGGTGCAACATTTGAATAACATACTGGCTTTAATGTGACTGTGGGACTGATGTGCGATCTGCATACCCTGGTGGGCTCTTGCTGCTGTCACTCAATCCCATCGACGGTCTTAACTGTAACAACAAAAAACAGACCAAAGCCAGATTAGAAAGTGTGCAAATGTCCAGATGTGCAAAAACCAGGAGCTAAAATGGGAAACATGTTCAGTTCACAGATTATATGATCAACATTCTGCCTCTTCTCCAGGTGTAAATGATCAGTTCTCCTTGTAACTGAAAGATCTTTATATAAATACATATAAAGTATGTTTTTAACAATGTACA